TACAAACACGCGCCGTAGGTCTATATGAAGTTATGAAGAACTGGAGTTACACTTTGTGCTCATCCGACAAACATAAAAGAACAGTTCTTCGCAGTCATATTTGCTAATATATTGTTTACAAACACGCGCCGTAGGTCTATATGAAGTTATGAAGAACTGGAGTTACACTTTGTGCTCATCCGACAAACATAAAAGAACAGTTCTTCGCAGTCATATTTGCTAATATATTGTTTACAAACACGCGCCGTAGGTCTATATGAAGTTATGAAGAACTGGAGTTACACTTTGTGCTCATCCGACAAACATAAAAGAACAGTTCTTCGCAGTCATATTTGCTAATATATTGTTTACAAACACGCGCCGTAGGTCTATATGAAGTTATGAAGAACTGGAGTTACACTTTGTGCTCATCCGACAAACATAAAAGAACAGTTCTTCGCAGTCATATTTGCTAATATATTGTTTACAAACACGCGCCGTAGGTCTATATGAAGTTATGAAGAACTGGAGTTACACTTTGTGCTCATCCGACAAACATAAAAGAACAGTTCTTCGCAGTCATATTTGCTAATATATTGTTTACAAACACGCGCCGTAGGTCTATATGAAGTTATGAAGAACTGGAGTTACACTTTGTGCTCATCCGACAAACATAAAAGAACAGTTCTTCGCAGTCATATTTGCTAATATATTGTTTACAAACACGCGCCGTAGGTCTATATGAAGTTATGAAGAACTGGAGTTACACTTTGTGCTCATCCGACAAACATAAAAGAACAGTTCTTCGCAGTCATATTTGCTAATATATTGTTTACAAACACGCGCCGTAGGTCTATATGAAGTTAATAATGAACAACTGGTGTTACACTTTGTGCTCATCCGACAAACATTGCACCACAGGACAGTGCTCTCACAATCAAATTTTCGAATTCCTTAGAAAAAGCTCGAAAATTCTTCAGATTTCCTTAAAATTCCTTAAATTGGTAAAATTACCACAATGCCTGATCACACAGTTGCAAAGTGTTTTTTCCTCCTTTTTTCTGTTTTTCAGTTTTTAACCTTGTTTCTAAGCACTAAAAATTGAAAACATTTGATTGTTAGCATAATGCCATAAAGAAAACATTCAACATGGTGTATTTTTAATCGTTGCTGCATGAAGAGCTTAAAAAATCTGTAGGACTGTAGATTTCAGAAGAAACAGCATATACTGACATTTAACTTTTGAGAATT